CAGCCATACTCACATGAAATTATCCAGTTTTGGTACATTTTCTGCTTTTGGACATGAGCTCCATACCGGAACACAGAAAAGTCCTTAGCGTCAAATCCATAAGTCCGAGAGTCCAAAGAATCATAAGTACGTTCCGTTCAAAGTTGTCAAGGGCGAGAAAACAGAAATCAGTCTCGCGCGCGTGTTTATGTGTTGTTATCGCCATCCACAGCTGTTCCACGTCCGGCCTTCTTCTGCGATGTGGGAGGGCTGGAATCGCTGGTCCTACTCAGCCCTCTCTTCCTCGGTGTGCTGGGTGTTACCACACGCCTCCGTGCCTCCTTCATCAGCCTCGTTAAGGCGTCTTCCCGCTCGTTGTGTCCCTCCTGCTGCCGGCTGGCGTCCCTAAGTCGTCTGCGGCCCTTCTTGTTGTCGCCTTTCGGCTGCGGTTGTGTCGTCGGGTTGCCACGCTGATCAGCTGGTACCCCGGAAGTACTTTGGCTGTTACTGTTGTTATGGCAACCCTCGTTGTTGCCGGAAGTGCTGGGCGATGGTTCTGCCGCTGGCTCCTTCTCAACGTACATTCGGAAGCTTTCTTCAATGACCTCTTCAGCCGATGGTGACTGAATTTCGGCTTCTTGGTGTTGCGGTGTGACGTACTGACAGTCCGGGTCACCTTGCTTGTGTCCAGACATACCACAGCCCCTGCACACAATGTCATTGGGGCAGATCTTGCTATAGTGTCCCCTTTGTAGACATTTCCCGCAAGTTATGTCTTCTGGTTTCTTGTGGTGCTGTTCTCGGTGTTTCACAGCACCTCGGAAGTTTCCAAATGTCATCTTGGCCGGTAAAGGTTCGGCAGGGATCTCGATAAACACGAACCTGTTGCCGTTTTTCCATCTTGTCAGCTTCTTGTCCTCGTCTCTGTCTTTCTCGTACATGACGGTGCTCCTGAGTTTACACCCGAACCGTTCCAGGGTTTTCACAATGTCGCGATCGTCGGCAGACAAAGGAATTCCCTTAATGGTGACTCTTGTCGTCGGGGCGTTGTTCTCACCCTGACCGTCAACGATGTATGGATTGTTGTCATAGAGGGGAATCTTGCGCCCTCTGAGTGTGAGCCCTTCAGCGAGAAGAGTTGCTCGTGCCGTCTTTGTCTTAGGGTAGAGACGCCACAGCCCTCCCACTAGCTGTGCTCCCTCCATGGTGTCGCAGCCGGCGATCTTCTCGGCTGCCCCGCAGATTTCTCTGGTACTTAGCCACCGATCTTCCCTCGTGATGGCCTCGTTGTACTTCATGTAGGCGGGCTTGACCATCGGCATGGTGGAGATCACCGGTCGCGTCGTCGTGGTAGTAACTGACGCGTAGGTCGCCATCTTGTCTTCTTCCTCCGATGTTATCGTTACACTGTCTCCGGGTCTTACGCTTCTCCGATGTCTTCCAGCGCCCACAGAACTTGTTAACTACACAGTTAAAAGTCTCAACAATTCTCTCAGCACGAAAATGAAAGATCGCTAATGAAAACTGTGTAATATGCTGCCAAAAATCTCACGATTTCAGGAGCTCTCGCAAAGCGTGACTGCCGTGGCTGGCCTCGCTTTCAATTCTCCAGGTCCAGATCAGGTGGTGTTTTAATGTAATGAATACCTTGAAAGACTGACTGAAGTAACTAGCTGGGAAGCATTTTGTATGGAATTTATGTAGCCATTGCAGCAAGATTCTTCTGTACATGTTTTTTTAATGTCTATTGTTTTATTGTGAAATGCCAGGATGGTCCCAAGCTACCTAATAATGGCTGTCTTGGCACCCCCGCCAATTTGCATTAGGCAGACAATTAGCATTTAATTTGAGCTGCCACCGGCTATGTAAATTCTGACCTAAAATACTAGTAAGCCAATCGTCTCATACCTTGCATAAAACGACAGCCAATCAGTGCTTATGATACAAATTTCAAATCTGTCAGTTGGAGTGGACGTCACTCTATGTTTAAGCATTGCAGAGTGTGCACTGTGCAATCTAATCTTACCGTTCTACAAAATGTCCACGGGGTTTCTGGAACCATGAAAAAGGAGACAATGAGAACTCATCCATCATCCTCAGGGAAAAGTACGGCCGGAAGAATTACCTCCTTGCTCCCAAGCAGACTCCAAGAGCAAGACTACCGCTAGGCTGAGCAGAAACATGCACGGGGAACCCTGCCAGATAGCCCGACGCCACCCGGCGTCTCTCGCCAAGGACGGAAGATTTTTCATGTAAGCGCACTGGGCGAAAAGGCCTCGAATGCAGCCATATGCGCACAGGGATATTTACGCATTTTTAGCAGGTACAAACGGATGCAAACGGATACGGGTAGGATCCGTAAAATATCCTAAATTTGCATTCTTAGGGATCCGGAATGTTTGGATCCCTAAATATCCCAAAATGGGATTTTCCACGGATATCTTAGGGATTTATTTGTATACCTGGACTGTCCGGATCCCAAAGGATTCCAAAGCGGGATTTTTCGCGGATTCCAATTTGTTTCTTTAGTGATTTTTTGTACACCTGAAGTAACCTGGACTGTCCGGATCCCAAAGAATGCAAAAATCGGGATTTTCTACGGATGCGATTTTTTTAAAAGGGATTTTTCCGGATATGCGATAGATCCCCACGTGCAGACGTCGGTATTTTACACGGATGCGTACAGATACAACTTGTGATTTTCCCGTATCCCTATCGGATTTCCATACACATTTCTCTGCATTTGCCTCGGATGCAAACAGAGCCGGCGTTTGGATTTTTTTATCCGTACCTCGGATCTTCCCGAATCCTTACGCAATTCTCCCCTGGATACGCCCGTGTTTGATATGTATACGTGCAGATCCAACAAGCAAGTCAGATTAGATAAATTAAGGAATAAACGAATGAATAGATTTAGCCTGAAAGCCTTTATTAAAACTCTGCACATACTGTGTAAAGCGACAAAAAAGAGAGAACTAACTATACGAATACATGTACCATATGTAAAATAAATATTTGCAATACTAAACAGGTAGAACTAGAACTATCACGTCTTGCTTCGCCAGGATGGTCGTCTCACTGTCCATGTGTTACAGCCATCATCTGTCTCCTAGTCCCACATCAGGATGGTCTTTGTAGAAGTCTGCACTGAAGACAGTCTTACCACGTTCAATCAGTCGCTTCTGACCTACGAAAAAACACAACAACAGAAAACAAGTACAGTGTAAAAATGGCAGAAATTATTATGTGCTAAAAACCGTTAGGATAACAGTCTCCCCAGCGGCCCGGATGCCAGCAGCAGGCATTGTTATGCGAGCCAGCATTGACATGTGAAATACCCCCCGTGAGAAGGCCGGCGCTTTTACATATGGGAACAACAGGTCAGATAAGGCCACAGATGTGAGTTGCGAAGTTGAGTTGCTCTAAACTTTCGTTAGAAATGATCTGAAACCATAATGATCATACTAATTAAAAGAGTTTCGAAGGGTTTACTTACTTCTATATGTCGTCAACAGTCTTATGCAGTCGGTTCATGGTCCAGTTGAATTCTGTTCGTCAGGCGAGTCTGCAACGTGTCATAATGCCTGGCGGCTTCGTGCCCTCGCCGGGCGACGTATGGGGCGATGTCCCCGGTACGTCTCTCGTCCTTGTCTCGGCCACTGATACCTCATAGCGTCCAGTCGGTGTACGGTCAGTATCCTAGACTTTGACAACTTCAATGCCGTGGTTGCTTAACTTATGTGCAGCGGATATATATGGACAGCCAGCGGGACGATAGAAAGGGGCGCACACTCAAGCAAGCGGTCACTGAAAGTGACCGTTGAGTTTGAATCTCCCCCGGGGTTTTCTCAGATTACCCACAAGGCACTGCTGCTGCCGGAACTGCTCTGCGCAGGCCTGGCTCTGCGGATCCGTCGAAAATACAGAAGTGGATCTTTGAGAGATACTCGGTTTTGACACCGGCGAAGGTTGTATGTGAACCAACTTCTTGTCTGATACGCAAAGTTTCCAATCAGCAAAAATCAGTACAGTCACGAATCCGAGCAGACATTTGCTTATGCGACGCGCAAAGGCAACGTTACAATGTACGTATATGGCTATTTACGGGGTGCGCCCTCTTGTGGCGACTGTAATTTCAACAATTTGCGGATGCGTACGAAAACAAATTCGGATATTCAAGATATCCCCATATTACCCACAATTCGCTTCTGCTGTGGAGTGGGCCCGCGGATGCGTACGAAAACAAATTCGGATATTTAAGGTATCCCAAGATTACCCACAATTCGCTTCTGCTGTGGAGTGGGCCCGCGGATGCGTAAAAAAGCAAATTCGGATATTTAAGAAATCCCCAGATTACCCACAATTCGCTTCTGCTGTGGAGTGGGCCCGCGGATGCGTAAAAAAGCA